CCCCCGCGCCCCGCCGCTCTCTTGCCCCCGTCGGGGCAGGACGGCCTCGCCTCGGTGGATCACAGGGATAAGTGATCTCCCCTCGGCCCGCCGTGGAGCCGCCCGCGCGCGCTCGAGTCTCAGCGCGCTAAGTCCTTCCTGTGAATGAACGAGAAACACTCGACAGGTCGTGAATAATCGTTTTAATGAGTGTGTAAAAGCGTGCGACGGGGTGCACGGAGCTGTCGGGTTAAACAAACAACTTGTACCCTGACGAAATCCGATTGTTAAAGTGCAAAGTGGTGTCAGTCCAATTTCCATCCCAGTTCTAAAAACCACAGATCTAAGTCGCGGGAGTCCAATTTTCCCCATTAAAGAAAAATAACAATATTTTCTGAACGTAAGTGCGATCGTCCCTAATGTTAGCCTTTGCTAAACAAAAAAGACCAGTTGAATAGCCCAAGATGTCAAACTTTTTTTCTTTTTTTTTTTTAGTTATTTTTAAGAATTGAATATAAAAGTGTGCATTTGACATTTTCCTAAATATTATCAGATCAATGAGGTAAATATTTTCTTTTTTTTTCTCTCTCCCCCTCTTCTCCCGTGTGTGTGTTTTTTCACAGATCACTGGAGGTAAACATCGAATTAATTGGATCTGAATGACTGAGGTTGGTAACTTTGTATTGAACTGGGGTTATCTCTGTCAAAATGTCCAGGTGCTTACATTTCACGAAGGAATTCCAGGTTATTCTGGAAAAGACAGAACGAAAGAACACATAGGATTACATTAAAATGGTGTTGGAGTATTTCCAGCCCTGTATACGCAAAGTTCAACTTATCTTGCTTCCGTGTGTGCAGGTAACCCAAGGTTCTCTCTCATAGTCTATAGACAAATACAGAGCGCAAAAATTCCAGAGATATTTTCTTATTTGGAGGCGATCGTGGTTAGAAAACCTGCAATGAGAATAGCCAGGTTTGTTTGCTTTACGATTAGAATGTCTTTGAGTATTTGCAAATGCAAACAAACAAACAAAAAAACCCTCAACAGTTTCTTAGGTTTATATATATGTATATGTGTATATATATATGGATACATATATATAAATAAAATATATGTCTTTGGTGGATGCAGCTGATAATCTAGCGAAGTTAGTAAGGCGTTTTGCTAATATTTATTGTTGCTGAAGAATTCCGGACTGAGCAAAAGTCTCGTCCTCTCCGAGGAAATTCCTTTTGAGACGTGCCCTTCTTTTCTTTGAAAACACCCGTTGGAGCAAAGTGAAGCAGAGCAATTCAGGCTGAAAACCAAAGCTTTTAAAAATGCTCATAGGATACTTTCTTTTAAAACTCAAATTTTCTGAAATCATTTAGGATAGTAGAAAATATATGACTTGTCAAAATAACTTGCTAGGCTACTACTGCTACAATCTTGTAATCGGGAAACAGTGCTGTTTCCAATGATGAAATGGGAAAATATATTTTTGATATTAGTGGGAGTCGGATCTGGCCCTTCTTGCACTGAATTTGCAGACCACGTTACTCTCAAGTCGATATCCAGTATATGCAACACTTTGATTTAAATACTAGATTTTTTTTTCTCTCTCTCGTGCTCTGCATTAGGAACAATGTAGGCAGGAGGAGTGAGCATCGTTCAGGCTCGTGCTCCTCAGCGCAGTTCTCTGCTTTTTTTTTTTTTTTTTTTTTTCCTTCTTTTTGGACGTGTTCTGCGGAAAGTGGGGCTAAGAAAGAAAGAAAGAAGAGAAAATAGGGAAAGGAGAGAGAGAGATTGGAAGACAGATAAGGAAGAAGAAGAAGAAAAAAGCCTGGTGGATCTGATAGCAGCTCCATAGCTCATGAACCTCACGATCACAGAGGAGCAGCATTTAACAGGCATCCGAGCCATGGCATCGTGTGGCCCGGGACACGCCGCGGGGCCCGTGTTCCCTCGTGGGCGAGGCGCTTCCCTGAGTCCTGCGCGCGGGGCGCCAGGGCTGCATCCCGGCAGCTAGGGAGCATCCCAGTGGAAAAAAAAATAACGCCCTCCTCCTGCATCTGCGATTTCCTTTGAAACAAACAAACAAACAGGCAAAAAAAAAAAAAAAAAAAAGGCGGAAGATGGGCACGGAAGACAGAAAAGACCTATCAGTTTCCTTCTGCAGTTCTGCTAATAAATAAACTTCTAAATGTTAAAAAACATTCTATCTGTCACATTCACTAGATAGGTACTGTAAATTCCTGTTGCAAATATACAAACAGAGATCCAAGAGGTTGCCTCTGTTTTTGTATATCTTTCTCTCAAGAAATGCACTATCAAAACATTAATTATATTTGAAAGGGAGCAGATTATTTGTTTGAGAAAGAATTACATTCTTGAATTTATATTCCACGCAGATCTCTCCTCCTGTCTGCCGAGAGGGTTGAACTGTAAATCTGTCTCAAGTGATGCACCCCTAAACTGTAGGTAGGTGTGTCACATCAGGGCTGCGGAGATGGGAGATAATCTGTAGGTGCTTTTAGACACCTCTCTGTCACACTGTCTCTGTTTTAGAGCCTCTAATCGTTAGGGAATGTCGGAATCAACATGAAATTGCAAATCTTACATGTGAAGAACATGCAGCCTTAGTCCTTGACACAGGCAAAGCAACCACACATGGGCGCGCAGGGATGATCCTGGCTCGGTATTAAACACCGTGACTCACGGGAGTTTGGGCCTACAGTTCCTGTTTATTTTTAAAATGCCACATGCACATCTTGCGGTAGCTGAGAGCTGAAAAGCTACCAACCATGTGAGTCATCAACCGGCATTTAAACATTTTGTCTTATATCCTGCTCTGCAAAATATTAATAAAGGGGTTAAAAAGATGCCCTCACACCTCTATCTTTCTTCCAAGAAACAGGGCAATATGCTGGGGTTTATTAGTTGCTCCTGAAATATTAGCTTTGATTTTTTTTTTCACTCTCCCTTTAGCCGCTTAGTATTTCCTAGCATACCTTCAGGAGCTGCCTTTTTTTTTTTTTTTTCCCTCGCCATTGCGGGGGTTTGGAGGGCGATTGAGGCCCCCGGAGAGGTGCCCGTGGCCCCCTTGGCCTGTGAGGACACCCTGGGCTGGGTCCTGCGCCCTGGGCTCGGCAGCGGGGGCAGGTCCCAAGCGAGGGGCCCTGCCCGGTGTCGCTGCGTGTGTCCAGGGTGCCGGGGGGCTCCGGAGCGCCGGGAAAGGCGAGGCCGGGCCGGGAGCGCGGCGGGCTGGGGCTGCGACTCGCCTCTTCTCTCCCGCTCTTTAGGTGTCCGTGGAGGAAGGAGGTGACGTGACGAGAAACGCCTGACAGCCAAAGCGGGGAACTGTCCGGGAGAAGGAGACGTGATGAATGAGGTCTGCGTGGTCATGATGCAGAAGCAGAATAGGACACTGTGCTGGCACCAAATGCAAATGTCTTTTTTTTTTTTTTTTTTTTTTTTCACTAAAACCCAAAAAAAAAAGGCAGGGGGGAGGGGGGGGGGGAGGCAATGGGGGCTGGGAGGGAGATCGGAGAAGTTAGTGGCTGTCTGGAGTGCAAACACGAGAGTCCATCATCTCCTCGGGAGAAGGGGCGGCTGCGCTTGTCAGACCTGCCAGAGCCTGGGAGGGAGGCAGAGGCTCCCCTGGACTACTCTGATCCCGCCTCAAACCTGCTCCAAGGCGTCTTTCAGAGGCAGCGAGGGATCCTGCCACCTCCAGACACATGTCCAGGGCCAAGCCGGGCTCTTGTTAAGCGCTCCAGGAGGCGAGGTCTGCCCCGGGGGAGGCGGGTGCTGGGGGTAGGAGGGATGACCGGGGGGCTGCAGGCAGCACCTCCTCCGAGACCGTCACTTCTCGCCTTGCTGCCCACCGGCCCCGTCCTGCCCACAACCGCCTTCAGTCAGCGGCAAGAGCGGCTCAGGCCGCGGTGCTCGGGGCTCTCCTGCCCTCGGGGGCTCTGGGCAGACGAGGGTGCGCGGCAGGGGCTGCTCTGCCGGCATCGTTTGCCCCTCTCATCCAGGGATGCTGCTCAGGGATGATTTCCCTGGAGAGGACAGCGAAGTGACCACGGCTCACATCGCCCCGTCCATGAGCACCTCCCTGACAGCAAATGCCCGCAAATAGATGCAATTCAACCAACTTTTCTTCCCCGGCCAGACATCGATAGACGGCGTGTGTGTGTATGGGGGGCATCGCCTCTGGTCTGCCTCTCACCCTGGCGGCTGCAACAGGCAGGAAGAGGGAGAGGCCGATGTCTCTGCGCCCCAGGGCAAGGGCAGAGCGGCGAGCGCCCCAAGTTCGCGGAAGAAAAGGACGGAAAATGAGGAAAACCAAGAACAAACAAACAAACAAACAAACAAAACCCACACATGCTTCGGGAGCGCTCAGATCTCGGTGTAATATTAATAACAACCAAATCCTAGGAAAACAACGACTCTCTTATAGAGGAAATCTGAGGAGCGCGGTGAGATAAGTGGAAGCTCTGTTTCCAAGGCAAGGAAGGATTAGCTCCCTGTACATAATAGCCTGTGTATAGGAATTGCAAATGAACTGGAGCTGGAGTTATCCTTCTTAAATTAATATCGAACTGGCTTCTCTGCCGAACGCGTACATAACAGACACCTCTGACCTTTCGAGGGGAAAGAGGTTTTTGAATAAATGTAAGATTTACATAAATCTGTCCTCTGATTTTAACTGGGTAACTCCTTTGCCGCTGTGGCCCTATTCTGGCGGCACCGGGAAAGCATCCTTTGAGGAAGGAACTGCGGGAGAGACAGGCGGGGGTGGTTTTGGGGGTTTCCTCGGCGGCTCCGCGCAGCGGGGGCTGCTCCCAGGCCTCGGCTGCACCCGCCTTTGGACCCCGCCGTCGCCAGACCCGCAAAGGGAAGAAGAAATTCCCTCTGCAAGCCGGGGAGCGGGATATCGTGGGATGCAGAGCGCCTCCAAACACTCCAGGAATTAATGGGGCGGGGGGAGGGAGGGGAGGACTAGGAAGGTCAGATGCATTAAAACGGTAAAATAAAAACATGATATGAAGATATATTTACTGTCAATTCAGAGCCAAAACATTCGCGCTCCCACGCTTTTTTTTTTAAGCAAATAGGAACTTAAGTGATGCATTTTAATTATTTTAGGAGAATAAGCAAGAGGGCTCTTTTTCTGAGTCTAAATAAATCGCAGAGGATGCTGTGCTGGTGGCGTCTCTAGCCTGTGATGGCCTCGTCCAGGCACTCACCTCGGTGAGATCTCAGCACGCGGGAAGAACGGGATGTTGCTGGCGATTCCTGAGAGGAAATCCAGCACTTGCGGGATTTGCCGAAACAAAACGCGCAAAGACTTTGCTGACAGTCTGAGAGGTGAAAAGGGGGACAATGTTTTCCTAAGGCTTCAGCTTGAGAGTGTCTGTTCTCACTATTGGTTTAAATCTGAGGTGAGGAGGGTATTTTTTCCACCCTTTTTTTTTTTCCCGCACTCTCCCTTCCTCTCCCCGCCATAGTTTTTTCAACCCCTGTTAAGTAGGGGAGAATGGGTAGACGTTTCCTTGATGCACAAGGAACTGGCGGTCCTGGAGTCTCTCAGATCAGCTTTGTTGTTGTTGTTTTGGTTTATTTTAATTTTGTTTTGTTTAACGCTGCCCGATCTAACTCCTGAAAAGTTTTTTCTGCGTGCAAGGTGTCCCTAATCCACGGCCGATTGCAGGGACCTTGCTGAAGGAGAGTGGTACTTAGGAGAGACACTTTTCATTCCGGGGAGAAGAGATGAAAGAAGAGGAGGCCAACCTTCCCTTCACCTAGAAATAGAGCCTATTTGAGTGTAGTCAGACAAAATTAATAAATAAATAAAAATTAAAAAAAGCAACTGAGGACACGGCAGAAGACAGACCCTGCAAATTCACATTTAAATAAAATAATGAAATAGTATGGAATACTATTGGAAATATTATTGGATTTACTAAATTCCATAGATAGTATAGAAATTCCATGCTAGATAGGGTGGAACAGCAGAAAACACAAATGCACACACAAAACCAACTTATGCACTGGTAACTTTGTAACAGAAACTGTCATAACCTTCCCATGCAACAAAATCAAATCAATAACGGATCTCCATTCCTCCTTGCAGAAACAGCCAAAGCATTAAAGGACATCAGGGGCTTAAAATGTTTTTTTTTCTTTTTTCCTTTTTTTTTTTTCTCCCTCCAAAAAAGGATCTTCAATAAAGAATTTATTTGTGTTCCAGATGCTTTTTGCCCCACCCTGATTTGCTAACAGTGATAAGTTTTGTTACTCAAACACTGCAGCCAGTTTCTGTCGGCTTTAAACTAGCCCAGTGAAAAATATGGGGCAGTTATAAGCAAAATCCTTTCTTCCTGAGTGTATTTCTACTGTGTCTTCAAGATTTGCCAAATCAAAGGCCAAAGCTGTGGCCGTGCCTTCAGTATGAGAAGTGCAGAAACTGTAAAAAAGGGTGGTTATCTAGAAAATGTTGGATTTTTCAATTCCCCATTCAAGCTGCATCAGCAACAGCAATTTTAGGACCATAACTAGAAGGAAAGAGGGAATGAAGTGGAAAGCAATCTAACAGCTGTGAAGGCAAGTAGAAGTAGTTGACAGAGCAGGGAGGACTAGTATTTTCCAAGCTACTTAATTTCTACCCCAAGATACAGCAGGCCAGATTTGTAGTACCTGGAGAGATGACAGCAGGAAATACGTCCATAGGGATCTGGCCTCCGGCTCTAGCCGTGTGTGAAGCCACCTCTGTATATTTTTCTGGGAATTCTGTGCCAGAAACAGAGAACAGAAAACTACTCACTGCTCCTCTTTTCGTCTAGGTCCTGAAGATGTGCTGGGCTTCCACAGGAAGATGCTTGGACATCAGGACTTCCAGAAGGAAGTGTGTGGGTGTGTGTGCATGACAAATGTGTGTGTGAAAGTAGTGGCTTAGCTGTATCATCTCAAAAAAACTTCCCTGCCTTCTCCCGCTGCACCACAATGGAGTTCCTGGCACTTCTGTTGTCTTTCCTGCTTCTCCAGAGACTGTTTTTCTTCCTTGCCTGATGGTCCTGGAGTATCACTAGAAGAAGTATAGTAGTACTAAGAAAAGATAAAATCAGATTTTCATTTTCTTGAAATACTCCTGATTAATGGGAAGAATTTGGCAATACCAACTTTGTCAGAAATCTAGAGAACAATGTCATCTGAGAAATGACCTGTCATTGTCAGGAAGTTGATAGTATAGCAGCACATTCCATTTGTAATTTTTCAGGAGCTATATTGTCACTAAACAGGACCTCAATATTCCTGAAATATTGATGTAAAAGAAATCAGATTTTATTTCAGATTATTGGTGCAACAGATGTAGCTGAAGCTGAAATATAAGCAGTAGTAAACAACGTTGACTATGTTGAACAATTTTGACTTACAGAGTGTTATAATTACACTTCAGAAGTAAAATAATATTGCCAAGAAATTGAGTGTTTCAATAATCTTTTAAGGCTATTGATTAAAAATGACTTTGAAACTTCCTTCAGAAGCCTAGAGTAGGACCTTGCGTCCATTGCCATTGAAAAATCCTCTTGATGTTCAGAGGGCTACCAATGTTAACTTCTTAACTTGTGATTATTTACTTAGTACTAGAGTGGTTAAATCTGTTATTTAGTAAGATTTGGACTGGTAAGATTTGTATAAATTGCTGAAGACCTAAGATAAATGATTTATTCCATTTCACTTCAAGATTTTGATCTATTCTTGAAATAGCACAAAACCACTATACCTACTGCTCAGCTTCAGCTTCATGAGAATAAACCTCGGGTCGCAACATATGCATTTGCTTTTCTTTTTCCCCACAGATATTAATTCTCTTGGTAACTGAATTATTTTTTGTTCAATTGTCCACTGATATTGTTAAGATTCCAGGGGTAGTTTACGAGATTCTAACATGAATATCAGCATCTTCTCTGGTTTTCAAATGTTATCTGGATAATTAAGATGTCTGAAGGTTTTTGGTTTTATGTCTTTTTGTACTTATTATGGAACTGGATTTATGTACTTATTATAGATAATAAATAGACTCGAATAATTCAGCCAGTGACTTAGAGACTGCTTAGTCTAATGCTGCATTTCTCCTCAGGCAGCAGGACAACTCTCCACTGCATGTGAAGACTCTGGTGTCTTACCTGCTGTGCAGAATAGGTGTAAGAAACTGTTCACATTCCTGTTCATGTACAAATGAAGAAAGGCTGTGCCCGAAATGTGCTGGTGCTTTAGGGTGATGTGTTTTTTTTTAGGATGAGAAAGATCCTGTGCTGTGTTTTTGCAACATCTGAAATGAGATTGCTGCAAACAGCAAGCTGGCTGTGCTGTGTAAATGCTTGACGCTGAGGCTGTTCCCAGGCTGATTGTTTTGCCTTTCTGCCTCCACTGCTGTCAAGTGGGGGCCTT